TGATATACGCTTTTTGTGTGATGTTTAAAGTCATAGTGGTACATTGTACACTAATGTCAATTTTTAACGCCCCATTATTAATTTTTTTTATTTGCATAATTTTTATTCCTTTTTTGGAATTGAATATCTCTGAGAGTGCTCTTAATTTGTTTACAAGTAACGGGCACCAGATGACATGACTGTTTTTCCCTGACATCATGACACCGACAGTGCCGGGATATAATTCAATATGGCCGATCAACAAAGTGATCCTTGATGACTGTACTCGCCGAATAAATCAGTATTTAGTGTTAATTTTTTTATCTGAAATAGTTCGCAAAGTTAATTAATATGATAGGCTGTTGGTGTTGTGGCACACGAAATCCCATAGACAATACACAGGAAACGCTGCGCCATGGCCCATACACACGATAATACTGAATTAGTTTTACCAATATAAAAAAAAAATTGTTACCCCCAATTTCACACAAAGGGAATATCCACCAAGCTTTAAACAAACTCAACTTTGAGTGCCAGCTGCAAACCCCAAAACCTACAATGTATATCACTGATTCCATCTCTGACTGATTGTATTTTTTTTAATGGTGAATGGGCCGGCCATACGTGCTTGGCAAACTTAGGGGGCGAGTCGGTCAGGAGGCGAGTCGGTCAGGGAGCGAGTCGGTAAAGGGGCGAGTTGGCTAGGGGGCAAGTTGGTAAGGGGCGAGTCGGCTAGGGGGCGAGTCGGTCAGGGGACGAGTTGGTAAGGGGCGAGCTGGTAAGGGGCGAGTTGGCCAGGGGGCGAGTTGACCTACAATCGAATTTCCCATACCCAATCTGGACGGCACCAGTCCACTATTATATGCAGTGAGTGCAGTCTGGACACCGGACCAGTGAAGGTCTTCATTAACATGATTAACATGCACAACCACAGAGCTACATAAGTGTATATTGATTTATGCAATCACATGTAGGCCTATGAAGCCCAACCACGGTTCATAACCATGCACAATGCATGACATCTAGATGCTCAACCAACCGTAAAAACTTTACATGTGAAATTAGGCTCCTATAACATTCATTATTTATTTTCCTTTAACAAAAACCTCCCTGCCCACAATTTCAACCCGGGATTCATACCCACACCCAATGCATCACAAACTATTATGCTATAACTTCTTGACTACCGCAGCTCACACAGGTTGACGGTGTTTTTACTCTTGATATACTGATGAATGGCTGCAACGCGAGTCTAATATTATACACTGGGTATGCGCAATACAAACACAACCCCTGTGGTTTGGCTTCATGCGTATGGTTGCATATATATCTCCAACCACAACCCATCCATGATGAGTTACATTTCATTGTCTTTTAGTAAAGGTAAAATGCAACACAACGGCTCCATCATATCAATATCTAGCACAGGCCCTTGATTTTTACAAGACATAAGGTGTAAGCAATTGTAACTGCCAACAGCATGCGTCATTCATTGTCATTTCTCTAGATAGGCGTAGTATCATCATGATTGTTGATTGTCAGTCGTTTTGACCCGTTCAGATGTTTGATGTTTAGAAAATTAAAACAGGCCTAAAAACAGAGGATAGGCCTAGGCCCCTGTGTGAATTAATGAACTAGAGGATAGTGTTGACAATCTTGCAGCATGAGACTGGGCTGTATTCTTGATAGCAATCATCCTAATGTTTTGTATGCATGTTGTTGCTGCTAGTTAGGGAGCTGGAATTGGAAAAGGAATCTGTATATTAGGGTGCGTATTGTAAGTCCGACGCCTCATTGGTGCGACGCCTCAAAAGTCCAAATTTTTTTGACTCATGAGGCATCGGATTTATGGGCATTTTTTTTTTTCAGTCTCATAGTTCTGATGCCTCAAAGGTCCGATGCCTCATAAAACCGACGTTGGACAAACAAGGTGTCGGACTTAATATGAGGCGTCAGTGCGATTGACTGTGAAACATAGAGGAGTAGGCCTATGGGCCCACACGACGTGTCGTCCACGAGCGAGATTCAGCTTTGTTCCCAACTCACGCCCACGGTACTGACCCTGTTAGGAAAACTGAATCAAGTGGACTACCTATGTAGTTCGTACATTGGTCCAGTATTTTTTTAATCCAAAATACAACTACGTGTAAGAATGATGTATGATACTTCGCTAAATATAAAAAGTATTTTTTTGACTGTAATACTTTTGAGATCTTAAAAATGTTTGTATGTTTCATAAATAGTACACCATACTTGCACCGGGAACCAGTCTTGTTCCCAGCGCCATCTTCATACGCTTGTAACAAGCGTCAAATCAAACATTGATCTTTCAAGGCTTATTTTTTGAGGCGTTGGATTTATGCCATCGGCTGAGAAAATCGTTGGAACTTTTAAATGCATGTATCGGACTTATGAGGCGTCGGACCTACATGTATGAAGCGTCCGACTTATGGACTTTTTTAGCTGACCCCGTATATTATACCCCATGTACCTACTAAAGTGTTAATTAAATATTATACATGCATATGAAGAGATATCGTTTCTAAACCTGAGCAGTGAATCAAGATGACAGCCATTCGGCACACCCTCCAGAGGGATGTGTTTCTTCCAAATGATGAGAGGCTCATTGGCTTTGTTCATGTCACCAAGACCGGCAAGAGGAAGAAAGTCAGCTTTCTCTGTGCCACAGGTATGTCCAAGGTAGTAACCTTTGGCGAGATAAAAATCATTGTTGAGGTTTCATCGCTCAGAGGAAAAATCACATACTTCTTTGAAATTATATTTACGTGATGTACTGTGTTAAAAACAGTAGAGTGACCACTGTACAATTATTGTATAACATATATTTATTTAAATTACATGATAAATCAGTTATCAAATCCTACATGGACCGAGAACTACATGTATGCTCTTTCAATGCATTGTCACTGTCTCTTCCATTCCTTGCAGAATTACATGTACATGTAGAAGTTCCATCAGTGCACACATGTACATCAAGGTGCATGAACGTGCATTTGCAAAGTGTATTGTTTTTTTTTCCAGTAACAACCGACGTCCCTGCTCAAGTGTCAGTTCACAAAGTAAAGAAGGTGGATAAGGACACCTACAAGAAGCGTCAGTCCTGGAACCTGGCTGAACTGAGAACAGTGGACGGCAAAGATTCCTGCATTGTAAGATATCGGGATGAATTTTGGTGCAGGATTTGTTTACCTGAAGGGTCTCATTAGATGGGCACAGTAGCTAGGAATGTACATGTACAGTATATGTCTGAACCTGGCCCCCAGATCCGTTTCCTTGAAACTACTGCCCTTTTAGTCCTGAGTGCATGTTGATAACACACAACAACTGATGAAAAACATGGTTGGGAATGAATGTGCACTTATATTTGGTCTGATAAGTGAGGATAGTATCTCAGCCAAGGACACAGGTATGGAAACCTTTTCTTAATTTAGTCATTTGAGAAGGTTTCAGCTACTGCACTTGTAGAACCTACTTTGTATTAGATTTGTTAGAGATGGAATTATGGTGAGACATTGAATACATGTACACTGTACATGTAGATGTAACATGTAGCTGTAAGGCATATAATAAGCTTGATTAACACAAGTCAACATTGACAAGGATGTTATCAACTGATCAAAATCATTTTTCCATATCTCTATACAACAGGATATTCCAGATTTTGATTTACATTTTGATAAATGCTATAAGTGGATAGCAAGCAATCCTACTGAGAAGAAGTCCTTCATTGAAACATTGTGGAAACTCACACAGCGATACCTAAAGCAGCTCAAGAAGCCTGACTTTGTGAATGTTAACGAGTCACTCCTGGAAGGTATGTAGGTCTCTGATATCCAAAAACTATCATGATTATCTCGTCTCCTGACAAGCCCGTACATGTGTATGTAGACTGCGTTTCTGGTCATTACAGTGGTGCTTTTCTCGCATTCCATCTAGAGTGGCCTTTTCATGTAACTGGTGAGACTAAAAAAATCTACCACAAGCCAAAAGCTTGTGTGTTTATGACAAGTCCTCAACCATATGTTCATGTATGTTCAACAACTTTTCTCTGTTGAGCACCTTGGAGTTGGGCTCCAGTCTTCTCAGGCTAGCCATTGGTCTGGGTTTTTGGTTCCTACTTCCATTGATTTCCCTAGAATTTATAATGGGTGACTTCCTCTTCATGTCAAACTGAACTTTCCTAATATATATCTTTACTATTTCCTTAAAACAAGACTGCAAGCTACAGTGATGTGCTGTGATAAGCCTCATTCCTTGATGTATATTTTGAGATCGATGAGGTTGTGGGTATGCAATGTACAATGTAGATTGCCAAGGAGGCCCAAAATCATTCATGATTTTGAATTTAGTTGATGTAAGAAAGGTACTAGTTCATTCATTTTTCTAGTTATCTGGCAATGTCCAAACAACTTGCAGACTTAGTGAAAACATTTATTAGTTGAATATAAAACTCTGTACAGTTTTTGGGAACGAGCCTGACATCAGCGTGGTCCTGTACAGTGCTCAGGTCAATTGTTTTTTCAGATATAAATACACAAGTTTCATTTTCTCTCATTTGTTTGTCTAGAGTTTACCCCAGTTGGTGATCAGTCGCGAGCCCAACACTCTGAGGATGATTTAGGTACAGGAGATGACTACCAGGTTCTAGCAGCCAGGGAGGAAGCAGATTTGGAACGGATGATGGCAGAGTGCGAGTTTGCCATCGGTAATGCTGAAGCATTTGTGGAACGGCTAGCCAATGATCTGTCCGTCCTTGATGGGGTAAGATTGCCAGATGAAACTTGAGTATACTTCCTAAACTTTTAACCTTTGGATCATGCTCTCCTTTTAGGCATGTTGATATGAATTCAACATTTTGAGGTTAAAGTTGAGGAGTGAAGTTTGTTTCTTTGTGTCTGTCATACTGTCAGCCCTTCATCAGAATTCTTTGTGTAGAGTTACTATGCCCCATAGGTTCTGAGATTTTCGATTTGCTGTGACAGGTACTAACATTTTCCCTCCACATACATGTACACGTGTATGGCAGTATCTCTGCAAATTTACCTGAAGCAGCTCAACGTTATTACTGATATAATTTGGTTTGAATTGACTTCAAAGTTCAGTATTGTCAACCTCGTTGTTGGGAGGAAAAGTTTTGAGGTTTTTGATGACACATCACATGTATTAAGCCAATCTCAAAGTTAATCTTTACTAATATGAGGAGTTGCTGTCACTGCCATGGTATTTTATTTGTGTAGCATGGGTGAACTAATGCAGCACATGCAAGTTGGTACATTCATTGCTTCCCATTGTCAAAGAGGTCCTCAGTGCTTTACTGACGGGGATGTACCACCTGCATATGGTCATAGTGTCACCACAGTAATGGCTTCTTATTTTTGTTGCTTGAGAAGACTGTCAGCATACATCTCAAAATAGGCATCTTAACTACATGTTGTGGCACTTCAAGTCAGATTTACATGGATAGATACACTACCTGGCTGTTTTAATTTTTATGTGTGGCTTTAAAGGCCAGCAGTCAGATTTATCTAGCTCTGTTTGTTGTTCTGTCTATCAACACAGGCCAATATCCATTCCATCATCGAGTCCCAGCAGGAGGTTGCCCGTCTCATGCATGTTCTTGATGAGTCTCTCCGGGAAGTCAATAAACTAGAATCTGACCTTGATGAGTATGACCGAATGCTAGAGGTAAATGTACATGGTTTGAATGTTGCAGCACTCCTCACAGGGATGGGGGCTATGGTGGAAGTTTAACAGAAGACTGAAAAGTCTGCTTAACCTTGCCCATTGATGTAATTTTGGGCTAGCCATAAGCCAAATTTGCCAATTAATACCCTCCAGACAAAGTCCTTTGGAGGATGTCCTTCCGTATCACTTGCATGAATCCGAGGATTAGCTTGGCAGTCCTTGGTGTGTGTCGCTGATCTCCACTGACCACTGTTGTAGTGTCTCTACAACATAGCCTGGGCCAGTCATGCTAGGTGAATATTGAAAACTGATTTCGAGGATGCAGCAGAGCAAGGGTGGACTCCCTTTTTGAGAAAAAATTTTGTTTGTCTGAGAGTTTATTAAACGATTCTCAGTGATCAGCCCTCATGATTTTTATGAACAAATTAATCAGTTTATAATTGCACAAACAAAATGGACGAGAATAACGTTGACACCTCTTACCAATAACAAACTGTACTAGTGCTCTATTTCCTATGCTTTCCTGCACCATTCTAGTGGTCTAACAATATGGTCACGGTCTAGCTACTAAAGCAAAAAAAATTGCTAGGCATGTAGTAGTGTTTGCCTAGCAAAACAGGCTTCCAGGCATAGCATAATGGAAAAGTTTTAGTATTTAGTACTACAAAAAACACTTTCAAACAAAATTGAATGTTTTGTGGATCTATTTTGTGTGATGAAACTTTCTGTTTGGATGTTTGTTTTGTCACCTCAGGGGGTGCGCGTCCACATGGAGATCATGGAACAGAAGGACTCCATGATCCAGATACAGAGCCAGAACCACTCTAAGCTGATTGATCAACTCCGAAACATCATCGGCCAATTAGACTTGCCTCATCAATGTAAGATGGCACTGATTGACAGTGACCTGGGCACGCCCAAGGGCATCTTAGATTGTACAGATGCCACCAAGTATCTGCAGGAGAAAATGGAGGCAGAGTTGCACCCAGGTAGGAAGATTAGACTGGTTCTGTGCCATAATGAGATATATGTTCAGACAGACAGCCTCCATCAATGAAAGTGAAGTATGATGTGTTTGTCCAGGATGAATGTCTGTTTCTAGATATCCATTAGTTTTTGAAAAAATTCTGCAAAAGTTCTGCAAATGTGGTGATCAACATGTAAAAGAAATAAAGAGTGCAGGAAAATTCTGGACAAATATTTTGACAGTTTTAGCAATGGTCCCATTTGGTACACCTGACATTGATGACTGCCACACCGAAAGATTCTCTGGAAATGGAATCTTTTTGGTCTGGGAACCCGATTAATAAGAAGGTGTGAGATCCTTTCAGGACCATTAGACTGGTTCTTGTGACCAAACAGTGTAGTCTGAGTTGTATCTCTAGCCAACCTGCCTCATGACAATCCTGTCTGTGCCCCCTCCCAATCTGTAGAACTCAAAAAGAGCACTTTACAATATAAAACAACTACAGAACCCATTGAAAACTTCTGCCAGATATGTCCTCTGGGTGCCTCCCTTCACATGAAACAGTTTTCTTCTTCCTAAGTTTGTATGCAGTAGGTTTCACATGATGCAACCTCCTATGTGTAATTATTGAAGTTCTGGATATTATTGTTATAATTGAAACTGGCACTGATTTTTGACACAATGTACAAATTAAGAACAATTTTGATTGCTTTTGAATTGTTAGCAGTTGGTTTCAAAAATTGCTCTGTTTAGGTAGATTTCTGAAGAAACAAGGTAAGACTTGCAATTTAGTGAACATTTTATTTTCTTACAAACTAAGGCCAGTAATCCACCTCAAGATGAAGTGCACCAACATTGGCAAAGAGGAGACAGGCTTGCGGGATGTTTTTTTCAACTGGTCCTGCAAATGCACCCTGGTGCATATGCACAGACCACACATCCAGACATCTGCTCAGTGTGTCCTGCGCCCAGGGCACATGAACCTATGCTCACATATGATGAGTTTTCACCATAGGATCGTTGTTGCTATGTAAACTGCGCCCTCGTTTGGCCTTTCTTGGAGGGGACAGGCAATCAGTTCAACCCTCTTGGTGTGGCTAAAACTTTGGGCTGCAAATAACATGTCCTTTAATATGGAAGCCACTTGTAAGAGTGGCTAGGGCTTCTTCTGATAGACGTGTGCTTCTTAGCCACAGCCAGTTGGTTCATGCATAGCCCTTGTCCTTTGAGAGAGTAGACTGTGCCCCATTATAAACTCAGGCAGATTTGACCCTAAAGCTCTGAACTAATTCTTTCCAGGACTAGGTAAACTGACGGCAGTAATTGAGCAGAAAGACCTGCTTACCAACTTCCAGGAGAAGTTTGCTCAGCGATTTGCCATTCATCTCAACAACATCTTTGTGCAGCAGGTGAATATTTACTGACAAATTGGTGGTTCCCCCCGGCTTTATTTTCTTACACTGCACTTTTTTTCTTCTTCCTTGACCATTGCTGCAAAATATTATTGGTGCAAATTGTTCCCCGAAAGCTAAGGGTTTGAGCTGCTTTATCCACCCAAACTGAAGTGCACCCCCAATAGGTGAAAGAAACATAGGTGGTTACAAGCGGTTCTGCGTGTACGCAAAGACCATACATGTTTGAATAAATTAGTTAGGCGCACTCAGCGTGCTCTGCGTCAAACGTGCATATACTTGCTCGCCTCATGGCGCACCTATGTGGTGAGTACCTAAAAAGCTTGCCCTCTTTTGTTCTGCTTGGAGCGGATACCAAGCAGTTAACCATAATTCCAAAAAAGCTCTGCCAAAGCTTTCACACTTTTCAAATCTCCTTCATATAATATGTATTGTCTTGTGTTAATTCCATGAAACATTTGAAACCATGTTATGCATATATCTCACACTCCATAACAAAATTTATGCATTCAACCATTCATAATTCTTCAAAACATCATTTGTTTAAAAACTTGTGATCAGTTCTAAGTTGTTTGAAGAGTTCCCAAAATATCAGGTTTGTTTTCCAACTGCTTTTGATCAAGAAGTTTTAGTTTCTCCTACATTCTCAGTAGATGGCTTGTTCCTGCATAAAGACCGCTGTGTTCTTATGTTTTTCCCTGCTTATAGTCCAACATTCTTATTTTTAATTTTGAATTTCACACTTTTTGACAAAAAATGATGTTTCCTTGCACAATGCTCTTTAAATTACATGTATGTTATTGAATAAAATATAACTCGGTGACGTATTCAATTGGGACTAAACACTGCTGAAGTATAAAGAGAAACAAAATAACTTGAAAACAAGAAAACTGCTGCACCTCAAACTTTAAAGTGAATTTTCCTGTGAAGTCCTTGTTGAAGATACATGTATATCATTTCTCTAAGCAAGGGCCTCCTAATTATGACGTGCATGAACTACTTTGTTTTCGCAGGGCAACATGACGGGGGCAGATACCTTAACCTACCAGACAGCCCGTCTAGCCCTGCCCAAGCATCATAACTTCCATCGAGATCTGATTCCGTACCCAGAACTCATGCAGTGGCTCAAGAAGGCAGATTACACCAGCTTCAAGCTTCTATCAAAGGTTTCCAACATAACATTACATTTGCCTAGCAATAACAATGCCGGACTTGATTTGTTTCTTGTTCAAGAGTTCTAGCTACATGTACCAAGAAAAGTGGTGATCAGTTACTTCAAAATTTCTGATATTTTGCAGGACATGAAGGCCTATTTTTTCATGTTGATTCCATTAAATTAATTTTTTCACTTCACTTCTTATTCACTCATTAATGTGGGGTGTAAAATTTAAGATTTGATTTTCAGTCGTACATTATTTATGAACTTTTAGTAAATGATCACTGACCATTCAATGATGTAACATCCGCTTAATAAAAGAATTTATTTCACAGTTAATATCAAGTTCTGCTTGATGTTTTGGTATATAGAATTACACCAAATCCCTGCACAAACTCTACAGCCATGAAATCAGCGAGTTCTTTGAGCATGCGAAACAGGCCTTGATCAGCAAGACCAGAAGCATGCTGGACCCCAAGAAATTTGGCTTTGGGGGCCGAGGTCAACTGCAGGGGTCAACTGGAGACCTCTCTAAGGCAGGGCTAAAGGGAAAAGGTCAAGAGTCTCAAGGGTCAGAAGGCGAGTTGACAGACAGGCAGCGATTTGATATGGTGAGAAATGGAATAAACTTTCAGGATCTAATATTAAAGCATTCTGTGAGATTACAGGCAGGCTGTTGTATGAAAGGACATTTACTTTTCAGCTTTCAGAATTATTCTTGGGTCCACCCTGCTAAAAGGCTAGTTCATACAGGTACACTGGTAAATGTAAAACACAGAACATTTGCAGCAAAATTTGCTGAAATTGAGATGTGTCCTGTTTATACAAAATCACAGTGTAAATATTTGATCTGATGTCATAAAATTGCATTCGTCTTCTCCTTCATGCTAAGTGTTAACTGGTGGTAAAATATCTTAGGTATGGAATACCCAGTGACGTTATTGAAAGGTCATGAATTTGTTCTTTTGACTCCTGCGTTAAACATACCTCGATGTTGGTTTTGCTTCCATCTCTCTGATTTTGAAATTCATGGAAAACAGGTCTTCACCCAGATACTGAACGAAATTGCTCCCATGTGTCAAGCAGAGCAAGATTTCTGTGCCAAGTTCTTTGGTCTTGATTCAGATACAGATTATGTGGTGAGTATCAGACAGAGCCTGGCTCTTAATCTGTCAGAAGTTTAATTCAGTCATTTTGTGTATTCCACAAAATCTCTATATACCATGTATTTATGCTGCACCTACTATAGCACACTGCTTTCTATGTATTTAAGTGTACATGGCCTTTTGCTTGGAACTTTCATTTAAGCTTTTGCACTTTCGATTTTGTTAACATTGTGAGCTTTTCTAAACAGTACAATGATAATTTGTGTTTGTATATATCAGTCAAAAGAGTAAAGAAGTTTTCAGTGGAATATGTGTTAAAGCTAACACTGCCAACCCAACTTTTACCAGTATATTTCCGAATTAAAACAAGTGGTAACGTACTCTGATCAGGGACACAAATTTACCAAATTAAACTTAAACCCGCATTGTTGTATGATACAGATTACCCTCTGGAGCTTTCTGTGGATTGGTAAATTAAATTAAATTTAGTCTGTGAGTTTGCAAGCAGTCATTTTTAGACAACCCTAAATGCTCAAGAGATCACAAATCCAACATTGGTTCACCGTTGCCAGTTTTATTACCATGCCATTAAACAGCGTACTTGTACCTGTCCAAGCCCAGATTTGTTCTAGCCAGGTTTGAACATGAACTGTAGTTAACTGTATATAGGTACACTAACTTACATTAAAGACTTGCAGATTGATACTCGCTGGTTGGACTAGCCGATTGTTGTCTTTCAGGACCAGTTAACCAAGATTGATTACGTAGCTGCAGGAGTCACCTCTAGGGCTGGGGGTTAGGACCTTGGGTGCCATGATATGATATATAACACCTCATTGTTTGGTATTTTGTATATTAATCGGCATGAACAAAGATGAATGGAACAGCACTAGCAGTTGACCCTTGACCCAACCTTCTCTTATCCAGTATTAATGATGCCATTTGTGTGTGCTGTTGGCTGAGACTAGCCTTGGCTCCAAATTGGCTGTTCCTCTTAGCTGTTGAGCTCAAAGCTGACAGTTTGAAATGAGACTATGCCGTAATGTTGAAGTAACAATCATTAGCGACCATTCTGTGCATGATGTTCTTTCCATTTCTGAAAATATCAGAAGTTTTTAATGAAGTGTGAGAAGTTGAAGTGGAATGAACTTTTTAGTAGCAGAAAAAAATGGAAATTACATGTTTGAATAGAAGGAAATTTGCACTTTGTGAAAACACCGGGAATATTTCCACGTGTACTTCATAAAGACAGGGTTCCAGTGGCCTAGAAAAGTCATGGAAAGTTGTTTCCAGGCCTGAAAAATTTATGGAATTTTGTAAAAATGACTAAATTCATGGAAAAGTCATAAAATTTTTCTAACACTGTGTGGTTTCTGTTATCAGAAATGAGTTCATAAATGCATGATTTTATTCGCAACTTTAAAAGTCTGAAAAGTCCAAAAATTTGTGTTATTGGGTCATTGATTTTCATACTTTGGTCGTGAAAAAGTCATGGAATTGAATTGTCTTTAGGTGCAGGAACCCTGTAAAGAACTTCATATGAATGAATGTAAAAATATGATAACACTCTGAACAGGGCAAATTGCTCCAAATGGCTCCCTTTTCCATTTTCTTCCCAACAAAAAGCAGATTGATAGATTATTACGTGTATGCACATGAAATGTGTTAACACTGATCCCTGAGGAGAAGGTCAACAGAAGTTTTGTATGAAGAAAAACGTCTCAGTGTTGAATCTTATGATACAAAAGCAGCAAAGTACCTGGCAAAAGTATAACACTGCTTTAGTTCTAACCTTAAAGTATTTGCACGCTTGGACGTGTGTATATATCCCTCCTGCAGAGTGCTTCAGGCTCACGTCACGCAGAGCATGGCAGTGCCCCGGGTGGAAAGGTCAGAGGTTATTGCAATATTGCACCCAAACGAATCCAACTGCTGTTCTGTGTTTGATATGCTGCATGATATGAAATAGTTGCATGTGTGCTGGTTTATGAAATATGTGTAGTTTAAGTGTTCACTGCATGCTGGTAGTTTGTGTACTAATAGTGCTCTTTTTTGCCCGCTGTGGGCGTCATGCACCTGCTGCTAAGGGGGCCATTTTTCTCACGAGATTCCACTCTGCATGTAGGTTTAATTCACTGACATATTTTCGCACAGTATTCTCAATGTGGTCTCAGAGTTTCAAAAACTATGTTTGCTTGGATGGGATTTGAACCCATGGCTTCCTACTTTAGTGCAGTCTTATGAGAGTAATTCCCCAATGCATCTCCAACTTAGACTTGAAGTTTCACGTTTTATTCATCTATAGTCTGCTGAGTTGAGGCCTTTAAGCGGCTCTGTATAATGCTGGAGAATCATTTTTAATTGTTTGGGTGTAAGACCAAAGTTTAGCAAATTTGCAGCCGGTTCCATGAACAAATGTCTGAAACTGTGGAGTTTCAGATGCAGCTGGAGATGAAGAGGAGACTGACATCTGCCTCCTGTGCAATATGGCCTCAACGAAAGCTTACTTCAGAAGCACACGCATGTACAGGCATGTTGAATAAACATGCTATCTGCTTTCAACAAAATATTTTCAGAAGCTTGTATAAAATCATTCAGCCCGCACCCTTTTGCATGTTTAGTAATTGCGCTGAAATTACCACACTTTTGAAACAAGAAGGTCCCAATTTGCACGTAGCCTACATTTCCTTCTTTGATTTTGTTTCTTCTTTGCTTCTTCCTTTTTTTCCGCTCTGTTTAACAGCTTGTATTTCTTGCATTGGCTGACGAACTTTAACTGTACCTATCCCCCAACTGACTAATGCAAAAATTAAAACTGAACTAAATCTAGAGTGTGAATCACCTGTAACTATTTTATTTGCACTTTTGTTTGAACTTCCACCCAAGACAAAACCCCTCAAGATGAAACGTATTTGTTAAAACACAGCCTGCAATTTAAGTTTGTTTTTCAAACAAACAGCATCAAAAGAAAACTTATCAGGTTTTTTTAAATGCCTAATTAAAAAGCTAGTTCAAATGCTTTCACTGCCTAGTCTGTCTTCAATTTGCCTGGTGTTATTAAATAGGAGGGCCAATTATTGATGATGAAAATCCCTTTAGCTTCCCTTTATGTAATTTCTATTTCTAATCACTATTTTTTCTTTTTTTGTGTCTTTCGTGTCTTCATTTTTCTATGAGATAATTCATACTGCTCAAGTATTACCTGTGTACATGTATGTACAGGTGTATATTTGGAGATGCATTGAACAAGTTAACACACATTAATAACTTGCTTTGATTTATGCATAGATGTATTCCCTTGTACATGTATATGAATTCATGAAACTTTATGCATAACTTCACCTACGCCAAATTTTGTCATGTAAGTTTTGCAACAAATTATATCACAATTCGAAAACATTTCACAACTTCACAACAGATTATGGTGTAACGATGCAGTCATTTTTAAGTGGTAAATGTTGCACTGAACAAAAAGGAAAGTTATCAGCAATTATATGGGAGGTCCACACCTCCGTTTTGAGGGCTTAATGAAAAACCTCTTTGGCTATACAGCAAGATTTGCGGCCCAGTTTCGACAAAGAAAAGATTCAGTGACTGTTTAATGACTGCTGTAATAATACAAAGGAAAAGCTCTTGTAAAAGCTACGATCGTCCTCTTCCAAGATGTTTGATATTATCAAAACGTTGCACAATTAAACAACCATACGTACCTTGTGCAGCTCTGTCACAAATTTAAGGCCACATGGTGCAAAGTTACACCAAGTTCTGTGAAATGGGCTGTTCATACCACGAGCAGATGTAGGGATCTGGCAGTTTTACAATTTCACATCATTTTGTAGAGAACTGTGTTTTCTTTCTGTCGGCCTTCCTCATTAATAAATGCAGTTACATGTAAATCTGGGTTTTGAAAGAATGGCTGCATTTAGATAAGGCGAAAGGGAATCAGAATATTTTGTCTGCTCATCATGTCTGATTCGTTGCTAACATAGAAAATTATCAGAGTAGTGCATTGTTGCATGCAGACTACGTTTGCACCTAGATCATGTTTGTCCAACTAGGTAGATTTTGGTTGAAATAATTCCCTTTCTTAGGGATTGTACATACATGCACATGTATGATCGTTCACAGGTAACCAGAGAGAAAAAAAATGGTGATTATTATCTCTGAATTTTAAAAATAGTTTCTGCAGTTAAATATGTTTTTACAATCTATACTAGCTCTCAGAATGAGAGAGAAGTAAACAAAAACAAATCCGGTATACACTGGATCATTTAGTAAAATATGTTTAAGGCCTACATGTACATGCACAACATGCTTTTGTAGCAGCAGATTTCTCTGACATAGACAAAACAGTGTGAGCAGTGTTAATTCCTTTTCTTTTTGTGACAATGATTTTCTTTTCACTTTTTTGGCACCATGTCTTGAAAATGCTGGCTTCTAACTCTCATCGTGTAAAAGGGAATTGGTAGACTTTGACATTTGTGTAGGTATTTGCTGTTTTGAATGGGATGAATACAATGTTTTGCAGAAATTTAATTGGAAAGCTTACAAGGTAAGTTTCTGCTCAGCCTGATCAGGTAATTCTATTTGTTTCCATAGAGGAGGTCTGCAGTGCCCTTTAAATCTGTAAACATTGTTCTTTGTGGTAGTCAGCTTTGGTTTTACTCGTGCTTTAAGGTGAAGGGGAATTTTTTCAGTGTGACCTTTTCTTCTGTCCTTCAATCCCTGGTAAACCTTAACGTGGGACAATTTCTGGTAAATCTTTGGCAATTAAATGGACAAATTTTGTTTTAATTGTCAGCTTTTGTGACATTTCAAATTCCAGATTATTCTAATTTTAGATCCTCTAGCTGTAGTACAGTAGAGATTAACAAATTTTTGCTAGTGAAAACAGGTGGAGAATTACTGGAATTTGCTCAGAAAGTTTTTTCTAGCCATTTTAGGTTGACATCAACTCTAACATGCACTCACTACAAATCCTTTAAATACCTAGTATTTGATAAACCTAAACGGATTCCAATGATTATTATGTAAATGAGGATGTGGAGGTACGACATCATGAATATGAATGATATCGATACAACAGATACTTTTTTTTACATTCAAACCCTCCTTAAGGAGAGTTATGGGAAAAGAAAAAGAATTTGATTGCCAACCCACAAACTGAATACTGTATCTGTCCCTATGACAAGGTGCATATTTGCCTTATTGTTGTCCATTTTACAACTTTGTAGGACTTTGTAATGGAGGAACTAATGGGGACTATCGACTCCACACCAGGAAAACAGAAGAAAGAGTGAGTTTCTTGCAATGTGTGTAGCTTTTGTGATGACAGTAAAGAATCCGTTTGACTTTTGTTCCATGGTATTTCCTCGTCCATTTTGATTTTGCTTGAGGAAAATCTTTCCTATTTAAAGGACTTGGTAGATGTTCCAGAGTGTCCTTTAAATTCCCATGGAAGTGAAAAAGCAACCTGCTGATGTAACAAGTGAATTATACAAAACAGGCATCACATACTGTAGATACATGTACCATGCACTCTTCTCCTTTTGCAGGGACAAGAAAATGGCATTACTTCCAAACAGTGAAATGAGGTAAGGATATTGTACATGCAAATTAAAGTACGTTATTAATCACAAGATAATACGAAAATTTGTACGTTGTTTTCTAGCTTAAATTTCAAGCATTAAATCTGACACAAACTTGATCAATATCAAACAGGTGATAAATCATTCTCATCATTCTTTAATGTACTGTAAAATTTCGGGTTTGTGCTTTGGCATCTCAAGGTGATTGCACTCAGAGAATTGACAAAATCATCAACAATCATAACTGAAAACTTATTGGCAATTTCTCTGTTTCTGAAATTACCAGTCAGTTTTGAGAAATCAAACCATCATTGTGTAACCATATGTGAAGACCCATTTTCACCTGCTGCCGAGAGTCATCAGATTTTGACAGAAACATACACATGAGAAGTTCTGATACAACACATGTATGCGAGATGCAGTCATCCTATCCTCACAGTACCATTACTTTGCAGGGAAGTGATGACAGATCTCTTCCAGACTCTGGAACCAGAACTCAAGAATTTCATCGCTTTTGCTGAAAGAATGGACAACTTGTGAGTCCCGTTAAAAATAGATCCATGTACATCTTTGTAAACATCTTTGTACTACGTGTGTAGTGTTGTACTTGATAGCAACAACAGGTATGTCATTACTGCTTCCTGTTTTTGAACCATACAGCAAGCCTGATATCATCTCTGATCTTTTACAAGTATGCATTATTCTGTCATTGTAAGCGGAAAATAAAAATCATACCCTCACATTTAAAGTTTACTTATTTACTATGGGAGAAATGGTTAGTGACAGAGCGTCTTGCTCAAAAGCACATGCCTTGTAGCCCCAAAGACTGGACTTAACTTCACAATTACATGTACATGTATGTCAACTTCACTAGCCTGGAAAAAATACAACATTGATACCAGCTGAGGACACATGCACTGTGACCCCACAGGCTGGAATTAAACTAACTCCTGTGTCATCACCATAGGAAAAAATACAAAATTGAGCATATCAATATCAGCACAGGGCATAGTACACTGCAGTCCCATGGACTGGACTTAAAATCCCTCCCGTGTTTTCACTAGGGGGAAAAAAGAAAAAATTGATATCAGAAAAGATGCTGGACAGGAAGAAGTGGCTGGTTATTACATTTCCCTTCAATGTGCCGTCAGTTTTTTTTTTTTTCACAATGGATTTTAATGCTTACTATCCTCTTGAGAATACACTCTTTTGAACTAAACAGATTTTTTCTGCTATTACAAGTTCGCAAGATGCAAAGTTATCTGTTGACATTTTGTCTGTTGTTTTTCAAACAGCAAGAATTGTTTACAATACATTATTTCTTGTCATCAGAAATGATCACAAGTTTACAACCATGATGCATGGCATTCCATAAAAGGTCGAGTTGATGTAAATTTGTGTGAAAAACTGTAAGTGCTGTTTTTGGCCAAACAAGCATGTTAATGTCTTGTTAAATTCAAAATAAGTAATGTTCATAATTTCACAAGTATATTGATCAAGATACCAAAAAATCACTGAAATGGTAGCAGGACAAACACCGGGCATGCCAAGAATAATGAGCAAGAAGGCAAATATTTGTCAGCATTCTGCATTCTAACATGGTGCACAATTACACCACAAAGTCACGAGCACTTTCTGGTCAGGTACTCACAATTTAGGAAGTAGAAGGCAAAGCGCTATCTATAGCATATACATGTACACCATCATTTAATATAAAATTTTGAAACAAAATAAGATTTGACTGCATAACTTTATGACCAGTGCAACTTTTGTTCTGTGTCATCCCAGTCTATCCTTCATAACCGGTACTTCTGTTTTATGACAGTTCTGGACCAATATGTTTAACCATAAAAAAGCCAGGTTTTTGCACCGTCTGGGGGGGGTACATATATGACCTTGATTGTCCCATACTCGATCTTTTAAAACTAACATGCCTGTAAAGACATACATGTACATGTATATGAAGTTTACACTTGATTTGAGTAAGGGTTTTGTTGTCATGATTATTTATGAAGTTCATGGCCTGACTGCCTTAATGCATGGGGCACATATGACCAAAGTTGACATTTGGTTGACCAGTCTGTGAAAAACACTTTTTTGTAAGAGCAAAGTTGGTATCCAAGTGGCTTCAAGACATGATCTGAAAAATGCATGAAGGAAAACATTCAGTGCGATTATTTGGAAGAGCTCTTGTAAGCTTAAAGAAATCTATTTACAAATGCGCACGCCCACAGACATTGTAAATCCTGAACCACATTATGTTTCTAAGCAGAATTATATGCTGATCGAACAACAGCCAAGAACCGCACTCAAACATTAATACACTCTAGCATGTGTTTTTGACTGGTACCCAGTTTTTACTAAGCAGATACAATATATTTTGTAGTCTTACCAAGTTTTCATACTGAGCAATTTTGTTTTATTCTGTGGCAGTTTTTCAGTTTATATGCTGGTACGCATCGGCTACCAAGTGATGGCTTCACCTAACAAACAGTCCAGTTCCTACCTAAGAATGGTCCTGGCAAACTGTCTGATTGAAGTCAAGAGAAACTTTGACAAATACATCGTAAGTCTTATTTTCCACAGTTCCAGTCCATCTGTGCACAATACAATATGACCTCAGTTCATTGGTGTAGTTTCTAGATTCATCAATACCTTCCACCTGTGTTATATCATAAAAAATTGTCAAATCGTTGTTACTGTGCTTCTTTAAATGGAATTTGAAACCCACTTGGAAATCAACAACACCTCTAGTCAAAGTCATGACTAGCATGGACAGGTAAGTGTGCTCTCTTTCTTGATTGGTTGTGTTGTTTTCATTCAAATCTTACTGGCTGACCAAGTGTGGACAAGAAAAATTAACGGTATAAGTTTATTATCAAACTCAATGAGTCTGTAAAAAATAGCATACCTGCATGCAGTATGTAGATGGACCAAGTAATGTTATTATGGGTCATCATTAAGATAAGCACTTAGTGAGGTAAATGCCAATAGAGGGTCATGAAGTGGTAAATAGTGTTCTTGCATTGCGACCTGCTTTCTTTGTGAGACTGTTCCATTTGTTGTCCAAACAAATGTTGAATTGCCAAGATGTCCTGTAATAATCAGTTAGGTTGCTCAAATAATTCGGACATACATGTACTTGCGTACATCTGGTCCTGTGCTGAACCAACGATTATATGCAGTTCTTTTTGAGCGACTCGCTGAGAACATTCCGTCAGGCCTTTTAGGGACGGAATGTTAATTCTCGTGTGAACTGGTCAAATGTGGCATAATGCAGCATCATGTCCGACGTGTGTACCCTGGCAGAGCATACACTAACAATTGTCAGTTGCTATGCTACTCATTAATTACTGCATTGTCAGAAGGTTCTCTGTTGTTCCATCTCTACCAAAACTGATTTTACTCATATAATCCAGGCAGAGTTTCTCACAGTTTTGTTTAAATCTGTCTTAATGTGCATGGGGCACATGACAAAAGGACTGCAGTTTGCGGATAGAAATGTGCACTGGTCACATGTAGTGTCATGCAAACTAGCAATGTGTGCACTTTTGAATCGGTGCACAGGAGTCAGAGAACCATTCTTCACACCAGGCATTATACAGTACACTCAGGGAAGTTTTACAAAGTTGTGTTACTTAGTTCTTGGTGGATTTATTGGGCACCTTGCTCTGGTGCCCCACTGAAATCCTTCATGAATACTGTCCACAAATAATGAAAGGTTACTGCAAATGCAATGTAAAACTATGTAAAGGACGTGATTCTTACGTGCATTCCAATCAGTCAGTCCTTCACTCGGCTGCTGTACTTTCATTGAAAATTTAACAATAGAAACACAGCTTAATTTTCTTCCCTGTAAAGCACGGTAATAGGCCTACTTGTATATGCAGTACAGTTGACTTAATTTAGCTGAAAAACTTTGTGAGAAACAGTTGCAAGTTTCTAGCTGGTTATAGGACTCATGCACATCATCAATAAAGCTAAATGGCTATGCTTTTTCTGAATTCCAAGGAAAGTCTATCTTTTGTATCTTACATATTGTGTGGAAATGGAACATAATTTCAAAGTAAGGTGCAATGCGTGTATTTTAAAAAAACAGACAAACTGACTCTTCTTTTTTTTCACATGATACACATCATGATCGTATTGGGACCCATCTATCGTGATACGTATTGTATTGTGAGCTATTAGGACACCCCTACCGGCGAGGTTGCCACTGTTCAGAATTTTTTTAGACTTGCAGAGTGATAAATTTCTGTAATATGTTCATGCGACAGTTTTTGCATTTAAGGCATTTGGAACAGTTGTTTTTGTGACTCTGATTGTAAACTGTGTAGAGTTTGGCGGATATCCTTGTTCCGTAGGTAGTAAATAACAACATTGAGCCAGCTGTTACTTAACACCTGAACCTCCATGAAATTGCTTGACAACGACTGAGTAAAAATTTCTGAAGATTTTGGTGTTATTATTACACGACTGCAGTGGACATCCGTGTGATGACTAGAGTCCCTGTTATGATGATGATGCTGGTGAGATGTTTGGTGTTAATCCTCTGCCTACTTTGGCAATTGCCTGCTTGATCAGCAGAGATGCATTTAGCTTGTTTGTGAGCTATCAGGGAAATGTGAATTTGGTACCAAGTGTGATTGATATCGTGTGAGTAGCGGTGTAGCTACATGTAACCCAGGCCATTTTCAGCCACGAGCACGGTTGATACTGGCCCTCACGTAGTACATGTTTATAATTAGCGATACCACTGAATATAAACACAATATAATGATGATGACCCACATTGCACACACCACAATCTTGATTCTTAATTCTGTCACAAGTGAGGGATACCTCAGAGAATTTAGTGATATATTGGTCTAGTGTCCGAAGAATAGACAAAACAGAAATGATGTAAAAAAAGTGATTGCCACACCACGCACTATGCAGGGAAACCTCCCCTAGCAACCATCACTTAGCAAACAGTTCCAGTAAATTAAAACTCTTTACAATTGTGGCTGCAATATCAGCCAGGGTAAGAGAAACCATGCATATCTTGGTTGTTTGCTGAATGCTGGTGACTCGGCGTAAGGTGAATAACATCAGTGGATTCAGTAAAAAGTTCACAAGTATTGTATGCGTCTGGAAGATGCGGAGAAAAATTACTAATGGTGATTGTTCACTTTCTGCCGAAATGGCTTCCTCTGTAGAATCCATAGTTGTTTTGATTCCCTCATGTGATGTCTCCATGGTAACAGTCAGTGTGTAGAGCAAGGCGTCAGACATGAAGAATATTCTTTTGAAGAATGGCCAATCCAATTCCAATCTGTCATAAAGTCACAAACTTGCCCAAGTTTTGAACACTTCTAGTGGCAGGTAGTGGTTTGGGCTTGCTTGAAAATCCAAGAGATGATGCAACTTGTGTGATTGTCCATAGAGTTTTGTTTAAAATAGTAGCGGCGTGTGTCAAGACACAAAATGGGGTGTTGTATGTTGCACACTGTACATGTACAATACATGTTATTAATAGTATTAGAAGAACAGCTAATGCAGCATAGGGATAATTACATTACGCTTGAGTGTGTATGTACTGGTACTGAGTACTTCCATTTATTTTTGATGGCTCATGACGTGTGCTATAAATGATGTAGACATTCGCAGGAGTACAATTGATAAGTACAATTTAATAAGTTTCCATGTTTATAGGCTGTAGATATAGCATGGCTTCAAAATTGAAGAAACTTGTCATATACATGTACATGTAGATCTTTCAAAGGATGACACGTTCTTAACATTGTCAACAAGTCAAACAGTTCCAAGTGTTGAACACTTGGAACTGTTCCAAGTGTTGAACACTTGGAATGGCAGGTAACAGTTTGAGTTTGCCTCAGGTAAACATACATGGCTGTAGATACATGGTGTCTCATTGCTTTTTATATAAAACACTCATTGCCAGCATGGCAGTCACTATTCACACAATGGGAGATTCTCTGTTGCTCTTGGAAGGGCAGTAGTACTCTACATGGTAGAGCTATAGTATGGACTCCTTTCATTTTGTATAGAAGATTCGGCTTTTGTATGAACCGTGTCGTAAATGAGGTGGGTATGGAAGAGACAAGCACAAGTAACAATCACTGTGGAAAAATGTTTGTCTCCCCACATGCAGTCATGAAGAATTAAAATTATAAATGTTTGAGAAGATGCATTAGTTAGAATAAATAAAAAATGAAAATAAACAAAAAAGAAATGATAATTTAAGAAGTGAAATGCCTCCTCCATATTTAGCTGTTGCCATGGCATTGTATAAATCCCAAAAGAAGTTAAGGATCCTTGACGTTTGATTTGAAGCGTCTTGAATGGCATGTATATTGAAATTCTTTTCAAGATTATTTAAAAACAAATGATGTCATGCTTCAAGAATTGACTTTGACTTCTTGTTTGAGTTGTTGAAATTTTGGACTTCCTGCCTGAAGACCAGAGAATGAGATATTGCTGTCTTCACCCTCGTACATTGACTGCAAAATTTCTGCCTTTGTTTGTCAGACATGTTGGCCATTCAGTTTGACAAGATGAAAGTTAGAGTTCCAAGTTATGGAGTTCCGCTCAGTGGAACACCTAGTGGCATATGTAAGTTCATATCTCACCACCAACATAGCATCTTGCTTTGCGTGGAAGTCATTATTAAAGTAATAATGAAGAATCATGAGGTTTAATTCGCAAAATAACTGGTTCATTGGGAATATTTACTTGTGAACAGTATTGTACTGGGGAAACAATAGCATCTAGAACAGAGAGCATTTTGTAGCTGAACTGTCAGCTTGGAAAGCCCAATACAATTAATTACGGGTAATGTACTTGCTCTTTCACGGGGAACAGTTTCTTGCCTTACACCAGCTTAAACAAAATCGCCACTTGACATTATTTCCTTGACCTAACTATGCATGCAACCTGAATAAATAAGCGAACACTTCAGGAAAGACATTTTAAATACACTTGAATATTTTTTACACTGTCTTCCTCAGAATGAGGCAGCTTTCAAGTCTTGCATCTTGGATCTTGGATAGGTCTGTGCAAGTTACAAACACATGTGCACATGTTGACAACAAACATACCAGTACCTGTACCTCTGAAAGCCAGTTTCAGCTGTAGACAAAGTCGACGACCAAAATAAGAAGCCATTATTATAGAACCATCCTGTTCGCATGCAGGCTGTGCACATGTGTGAAGTTCCTTGATCAACGGGCTGTAGTCGATTGCCGAAATTCACAGGGTTATAGGCTATAGCCTGGGGTTTAAGTGCTTCTTTGTAAGGAGTAATTTGTTGACATTGTGGAGGTCAAACTCATCATGGGAGTACTTGTCTGCTGTGACCCAATTCCATTAGGTCCATTTTAGGTCCCACATGAATAGCACACCCGCTGCATTCTCTTGTGCATGCCAACAACAGACTTGCTGCCCCAGATTAGATGATGTCAGTCAGGTCCATCAAAGAAGTTACATGTACATCAAATTGGTTTTTGAAGGAGTTTACTGACCAGGCTATTGCATCAACGATACACCTTCTACGCGTAGTTTGTT